ATATATAGAACGCTCTGAATAGAAACTGTATATGTATTAAAAGAGTGCCGTTCCTATTTGGCTAAGGTCCATTCCGCTATATGTTTTGATCGTCTATCGCTTAGTCTTCGCGCGCCTCGTCGTAGCCTGAACGTTAGCGTCATTTGTTTTCCAAATTACCCACATGAATTTTGTCATTGGCTAAAAACAGCTTTAGGCTGATCGCTACCACTATCGTCACCACGTTTCAATATCACTCCTAAGAACATAAGAACGTCGAGGAGCCTCATTTGTTGAAAGCGTGTTCTGCTTGCAGAATGTACGTATAACATGCTCAATGGCTGGGGTTTCAGCTAGAGAAGAAAAGCGCAAGACAAATAATAATTTGAAGACCAAAATATCGATGGCGGCAGTAAATAGGGACTTCGATGACGATCAATATGTATTAGTTCCAAAAACAGCCATGCGCTTTCCTATTCAATGGGAGACAACCTAATGATGACGAAGTAGCCCGCGTCGATCGGTCTTCGACGTAATTGCTCCTATGTTATCAATACTGATGGCAAGGGAGAATGTGCCCGCCGAGAAAACTAGGGTTATGCAGTTACGTATGGTACGCCATTGTCTCGTCTAAAAAAAATACCTACATCGAATGTACCTACTGGTCAGTCATTCGAGAGGGTCATCACGTCATTTAACAGTTCCCAAGCAACGCGTCAGTTGTTGGTCCATGCAGGTATATTCGCTTTGAAGTTAACCTTCATTCATCGTGATAGCGATAAAGCGAACAGGAATCACAATGGCCAACAAGGATACCGAGCATGTCGAAACATGTAGGGCGAAAAATCCCTCAGGAATTCATATACTCGTATTTAGTGTTACCTCAAAAACGTAACTTGAATAAATTGTAATTCTATTACAATCAGCAACACGTGCCCCTTGTTACCAGCGAGTTCGCACTTCGAGTGATTCGTCGAATTACGTTAATACTTAAGGGGAAGCCTTCTGCGGCGGCGGGGGTATACAGCAGATTATATATATATATATATATATATTATATATTATATATATAATATATCTAGGCGATAACATAGCTGAGAGCTGTTAGGACTATCACAGACAAATCAGCAAGGCTAACTACATACATTTCAAATAACTAAGCGTTATGCGTACGGGGGGGGTTAGGTAAAGGAGTATAAATCAGTAGGTATTCCTTCCGATTTAGATATATTTTCAAAACTACTAACGTTGTTTCAGATGCGCTTACGTTCAAGTTTGCTGTTGTCCTCGAGATGCTGCGATGAGAAATTACTATGCGAGACAAATCAGGATGTTTAACATTATGTGATAAATTAA